GATGAAGAGGAGCCGGGTTAGGGTTAGGAGGGGACCCATCCAAGGATGGACGAGTTCATCCACAGAGACCCAGAGCCCCCGGCCCTCCTGCGTGTCCCCTGCTGCTTTGACACAGCGGGACAGGAGTGGACAGCGAGGCAGTGTCTGGATAGCCCAGGTCACCTGTCCCCTGCACAGGCCCTGCTGGGCTGGGAAAGCACGAGGGGACACACAGCTGTGAGCACACAGACACACACAGAGGTGTGCAGAGCCTCACACACCCTCTGCCCGGGGCTGCTCAGCCCCTTCCAGCCCCAAATTCCCCGGCTGCAGACCCTGGGGAGGGGGAAGAGCTTAAAGGGTCCCACCAGAGCAACAAAAGCCCCTTCCAGGTACCCCAAGTGTCACCCGGCCCCACAGGGAGGTCTGCACAGATCTGGGACAGGAGGCTGTGAGATCGCCGGGGTGTTTGTGAGTCACAGGGAAGCTCAGGTCAGGGCAGCTGCCCGGGGCACCCCCAGCCCTCGGGGTTGCACAAGCCCTGATGCAATTTCCTTGTCCCGAGCGTTGTGTGTCCCCACAGGCAGGGGTTGCACCAGGAAGAGCAGGAACCACAGGGGCGGGACCACAGAGAGAAGCACCCCAGGATTCGTATCTGCTCTCCCCTGTGAAGGGAACAATCCCTGCATCATCAGCCCTGCAATCCCCCAGTCCTGACACAGCAACAATCGTGGGAGCCCTGGAAAGGCCGATGGGTGCAGGTGGCCCAGCTGGGAAGGGGAGGGAAGGGAATTCCAGGCTGTGAACACACCACTGTCCAGGGAGATGGGGAAACCACACTCCCATGGGGGCGCAGAACCCACAGCTGGCTCACAGCACTGTCCCCTCTGTGTCATCACCCCATTAGGTGCCCGATCACGGGAAGATGCATCCCAGGGCTCCTGCATTATCCCACCACTGAATACAGGGTGCCAACAATCTTTCCTCCTGTGTCTGACCCTCAACACCCCACTGAGCCCAGAGAGTGAAAACCCTCAGGAACCACTGGGAGAGGCTCTGTGTGGGCAGTGCTGGGACACAGGGAATTGGGACCAGCCTGTGGGAAACCCCTTCCCCAGCACCACCACAGGGTCCTAGACCCTCTATCCCCCAACATACCCACCCAGCCCACAGTGGTCTGCACAAGCCATCCCCCGTTAAATTTGGCACAAACTCNTGCACCCGGGCGCGCTGCACCGTCAGCCTCAGCCCCACGTCCTCGGCAAAGTCCAGCCTGGATTCGTTCATCTGCAGCTCGTGGATGCGAATCCTGCACAACACAGGCGAGTTGTGCTTGTGGCTGTGGCACAGACAGGGATGGGGACAGGGACAGGCAGCCCACGGGTGGCTCCTACCGTGGCACAGCATAGGTGAGAGTTCCCAGGAGGGTGTTGTAGGAGCCCGTCAGGTTCAGCTCGTGCTCCTTCTGCAGCATCGACTGGAGCAGCTCCAGCCCAAAGCGCCGGCCTGGGGCAAAGTGGGAATTTGAGGTGACACCAAAGAAGGGGCTGGGGCACCTGGGGTGTCAGCAGAGTGAGCAGCCAGGACCAGGATGGTCCTTCCATCCATCCTTCCATTCCTGTCAGACTTGTCATCATTCCTGGGGGTGTCCATTGGTTCCCCTCATTCCCCATCCTTGGCAGCCTGGGCATCATCCCCCGCTGGTCCCCCCCATCCCTCCCTACTCAGGAGCACAGACTCACCAAACTCCAGCGTCCTCTGGGTCAGCCAGACCTTGATGCCAGGGCTGGTGGTGGTGGCAAAGACACAGGTGGGCAGCAGGAGCAAGAAGCAGAGCCATACAGGCTGGGACCTGGAGGCTGGAGCAGAGGACATGTCTGGGGGACACACAGCAGGTGTAGAGACCCCTTCCCTGTGCAGCAGCACAGCCAGGACTTATACTGGGGACAGGGAGACCGGGGTGACATCAGCACACATGGGGACACTGCAGCGCTCTGGCCACCGAAAGCCCAGCCTTGCCCAACCGTGACTGAAAGGGGAAGCCCCATCGTGGGAGCAGGGCAATGCAGGGTCCCACACCAGCCCTGCCAGCCCCACCCTGGGGGTACACAGAAGCCAGGGACACCAGCTGGGGCTCCCCACAGGGACATGGGATACGTGGGGACACACAGAGACCCGGCTGGGGCAAGGCCACATAGGGCTTCAGCTGCGCCCTGCCTGGGAGCAATGGAGCAGCGGGGGACAGGGACACAATGAGCTGGTCCAGGGGGCTCAGCCCATTTGCACCAGCCCTGTTCCCACCTTGGGAAGGGCTCTGGGAACCCTGTGTAGGGTTACCAACATTTCAGTCGGGATCGGGGTGTTTGGGGTGCAGAAGCAGCCCCCAAGGAAGTGATGGAAATGTTGGGACAGTCAGAGTGAGAGCAGAACTGTGCAATCCCCTCCAAAAAAACCCCAGCTGTGGGGAAGGAGCCAACAGTGGCAGACCCTAGGGACCGTCCCCTAGCCAGGGTGAGCCCCTCCAGTGCCCTGGGCTGTGGATGAGCCCCTCCAGTGCCAGGGCTCCAGCTGCCCTCCCGGATCCAGCCTGGCAGACACAGAGGTACCTCTAGTAGGGCCAGGGCCTTATCTTGGCACCACAGGAGCACATAGAGCCCACATAGAGGGGCAGCCTCACCAGAGGGACCACAGCCCACATAATGCACCTTAGGGATGTCTTCAAAGCAGCTGCCCACCGGCCTGGGATGCCCAGTGCCACCAGCCACAGCCGCAGGGGTGACCAGAGCCCCCAGCAGTGACCCAGAGGCCAGCATTGACCCCGACCCCCAGCCCAATGCCTACCAGAGCCCCTCCATCCCAGGGTGCCCCTGCCCTTCAGCAGCTCTCACCGTGCCCGGTGGGTGCCATGCCCCACACCGCAGCTCCTGCCATGAGTCCCGCAGTTCCTGCCATGGGTCCCGGCTCCTCCGTGTCCCCAGGACTGTACGTGGCAGTGAAGAGCAGGGACCAGCTCTGACGCCAATGTCCATCCCGGGTCCTGGTCACACCACAACGTCACCCATTTCCCCCGTCCCTAATCCCTTCCGGGATGAATCAGGTCCCACGAAANAGAGCCGAGCAGGGTCCCGTGCAGGGCATCAGGATGGCAGGAGAGCAGGGGCTGCTGGCGGGCCCAGAGGTGCAGCTCCATGGGCTGGTCTGGATAGAGCTCCTGCAGCTGGGAGGGACAGGCAGGGGTGGCACAGAGCCATGCTGGCCATGCCCCCAGCAGGTCCCCACCATTGCCCAGGTCCCGTGTACCCATCACTGCCCACATCCTTGTCCTGGGGTGTTCCCTTCTGCCTGCATCCCATACTGCCTGCAACACCTGCCATTTCCACTGCACCCCATTTCCTGTCCTGTCCCTCGTGCATCCCATTTGACCTCTGTGCTATCCCATGTTCCATCCCACCTGCAACCTTTCCCTCCTGCATCCCATCCCTTTCCTGTCCTTCCTTCATCATTTCATTCCCACCCTCCAGCACCCCATCCCATCTTCTGTTCCTCCTGCAATCCCATCTTGTGTCCCATGTCCCATCCCACCTGCATCCTGTCCTCCTCCATGTCCTGCCTGTGTCCCCTTGTCCCTGTGTCCCATCCCACTCACCTGAGGGGAGAAGATCCCCATGCTCTTGGTGCTCAGCTGGAGTGGGAACCGCCGGGGGACCTGGAAGGCAGGGAGGGGTCAGGGGCTGGGGCTGAGCAGGGGTGGGCATGGGGACAGCCCGGTGGGGACAGCTCTGCTCTGCAGCCACCCCTACCATGTCACTGGAGATGATCCTGCGCAGGGCCCCGGCTGTGAAGTAGGTGAAGGCGGCCGAGTTGCCGACGAACTCGGTGACAGCCAGCAGCAGCGTGGGCTCGTGTGCCACGGGCGGTGTGATGGGCAGGGCCGTGGGCAAAGCCACAGGCAGTGCCATGGGCAGTGCCACAGGCAGCGCCACAGGCAGTGCTGAGGGTCTCTGCTGGTACGTGCCCACCCTGAAGATCTCTCCCTGCACAGACACAGAGATGGATGTGAGGATCAGCCAGGCTCCCCTGCTCCCAAATGTGGCCCAGGGATGCCCAGGATGGCATTACCTTGAGGGCAATGTCCCCATACTCCTCTGTGAAGGCTGGCGGTGCCAGGAGGGAGTGGTCGATGGCAGCAATGGTGTCCAGCTGGGTGGACACTGCAGGGACATGGAGGTGGATGTGAGGAGTCAGACCCCCAGCCCCCTCCCACAGCCTGGGGGTCCTGCAGACCCTGCTGGGCACCAGCCCTGTCCACAGCCCCCCAGGACCACCCTGGGGTCCCCTCACCCACCTTTCATGTGCTTCAGGGCAGTGTCCAGCCTGTCAATGCCCCTCTGGAGCACGAGGCAGAGCTGGAAGCAGAGCAGGGTGTCAGGGATGACCCAGGGTCACTGGGCTGGGGGGACAGGGGCAGCCCAGGGCTCAGGGACTGAGCACCCACCTGCTTGTTCAGCTGCTGCCGCAGGGTTCTCTGGAGCAGAGGTGCCAGCAGGTTGTAGAGCCAACTGTAGGGCACAGTGGGGTGCTCAGATCACCTCATGGCCCCACCCAG